TTTCGGAATTCTAAGAGACCTGTCCCACCTTGGTGTGCGCGGAAGAATATTTCATATAATCGAAAGTTACCTGTCAAACCGGACATTCTGTTTCCGTCTGGGCAGTGTGCCCTCCCAAACATTTGTCCAGGAAACAGGCGTGCCACAAGGTGGTGTGCTTAGTTGCACAATTTTTATTACTAAAATGAATTCTTTGCACTTGTCCATTCCCCGCAATATGTTCTATTGTACATATGTCGACGAAGTTCAGCTTGGCTTCAAGTCATGCAACTTGGCCATGTGTGAGCGGCAGGTTCAGCTGGGTTTAAATAAGGTCTCCAAATGGGCAGATGAAAACGGATTTCGACTTAACCCACAAAAACGCACGTGTGTCTTGTTCTCTCGGAAGAGAGGCATGCACTCGGAACCTGACATTCGACTGAACGGGCAACGTCTGTCCGTCAAAGCCGAGCATAAATTCTTAGGCTTAATCTTGGACAACAAGTTGACCTTCGTACCCCACATAAAGTATTTAAAAACAAAATGTTTAAAAGCCATGAATGTTATAAAAGTGTTGTCACGTACTACGTGGGGTAGTGACAGGAAATGCCTCATGAACCTGTATAGAAGCCTTATTCGCACCCGCTTAGATTATGGGGCCATTGTTTATCAGTCTGCGACTCGAAGTGCTTTGAAGATGCTGGATCCCGTGCACCATTCGGGCATCCGCCTTTCTACCGGTGCTTTTCGCACCAGCCCCGTAGAAAGCCTTTACGTTGAGTCAAATGAGTGGTCGCTTCATCTGCAAAGAACCTACACGTCCTTTGTTTATTTCCTTAAGGTAAAAGCAGACAAGAGGCAGCCCCTCATACTCTACTATTAATGACTTGTCGAGCTCCATTCTTTTTCAAAACTGGCCTTCCATGAGGCAGCCCTTCTCAGTTCGCCTGAAGGGTCTAGCTGAGGACACTGGAGTGTCACTCGAACACAGTTTAATGGCTCCTGTAGCATACCCGCCACCGTGGCAGTGGCAGACTATAGATTGCGATGTGTCTTTCCTAGAAGTTACTAAACATGCGCCTATTGCCCATATTCGAACATACTTCTTGGAACTTCAACACAAATACACACGTCCTGAGTTCTTTACAAATGCCTCTAAGTCTAACTGCTCTGTGTCCTACGCTTCTGTTGGCCCTTATTTTTCGGATGCTGGCCCTCTACATCCAGGCACAAGTATCTTCACAGCGGAAGCTTACGCGATACTTGTGGCAGCTAAACACATCAAACAATCACAAATACAAAAAACAGTAATTTATACAGACTCCCTCAGTGTGATAACGGCTCTGCACAGTCTTAAAAAACAAAAAAACCCTGTCCTCGTTTCACTTTACTCCATTTTATGCACACTCTACACACTCAACCGACATGTTCTTGTGTGCTGGGTGCCAGGGCACCGTGAGATTCAAGGCAACATGATGGCGGATCAGCTTGCTGCATCCGCCCACGAAAGCACCGCCATTACACCCACATCAATCCCGGCCCTTGATCTTAAGCCGTCTCTGAAACGAAAACTCAGGGACTACTGGCAGAGCAAGTGGGATACACACACACAAAACAAACTACACGTTATCAAGCCACACCTTGGCCATTGGCCACCAGTATCAAAATCACGTCACACAGAGGTAACATTAACGAGGCTCAGGATAGGACACACATACACGACACACACATATCTTTTGTCTGGCTGCGATCCACCATTGTGTGACAGATGAGGTGAAGCACTAACAGTTCTTCACATTTTAATTCAGTGCAAACAATTGGACACTCTAAGAAAACAACACTTTCCTTCACCCTACCGACAACATATACCTTTACACCCTGCAATGTTCGTCGGTAGAGAACCGCTTTTTAGTCACAAATCATTGTTAGCGTTTTTAAAAGAAATTCATAGCTTTCATGTCATATACCCGGGCATACCGTAGCACGACCTCTCCAGAGAGGTTTTCGCTGCTGTGGCTGCACTTGCCTCACGGCCCTTGGACGCAAGGGTATGAACGAGTGAGGCACTTGTGCTAATGCCATACATGTCCACCATCGTTTTTATTATCATTAACTTTTGCCATCTATTCACACCACACACACCTTTCACGGCATGGTCATGATTTTAATAATTGTATGTTTTTACCCGCTTTACTGCGAGGAATTTTATGGCCTTTATACAGCCGCTAATCACAATCATTGTCCACATTCCCGTCTCATGAACTGGCGCTCTTTGGCCATCAAATGGCCCTTGCGCCAAAAAACACCACATATCATCATCATCATCCCTTCTTTGCGAATGCTGGCACATTGCTAATGAGCCGCCAGGTGGAGCCATGTGGCTCCGCCAGGGTCACCAAGGTTTCTTTGAAAAGCGCGGCCAGAGCAGTACGCTGCACGTATGTGGTTATTTGCACAGCTGAAAAAAAAAGTTTAAAAAAGTGGCTGGTGGAAAGCAGCAAGGCTATATTTCAAACGAATATATGACAGTCAACATTTCTAATAAACATATCTTATCGCAACCATACAACAGGTTGCGATAGATGAACTGCCAACTGGCATTATATATGCTTTCATGGTTAAACTATTTTTCGCCACATATATATTGTATGAGATATCTTATCCGTAAGCTTGAGAGTACATTTTTCAAGACATCGTTTATAAGTTATGGAAGCATGCATTACTTCGTTTTGTATGACACCACCAAGCATTTTCTGCAGGAGTTGCAAAATTACAGAATTGATGAATTCTTAAAGCTTGCTGGCCAGAATATTACATGTACTGCGCTTTATATGCTCGTTTTGATTATTATTATTATTATTATTATTATTATTATTATTATTATTATTATTTATTATTATTATTATTATTATTATTATTATTATTATATTATTATTATTATTATTATTATTATTATTATTATTATTATTATTATTATTATTATTATTATTATTATTATTATTATTAGGCAGTGTCTCCTGTGCCGCGCGGCGCAGCAGCCAGCCCCACACAGAAGTAGCTTCTGCACCACACAGAAATGCCGTCACTTTAAAAATTATTACCTAAAGCTAGTTAATTGTGTAAATTATTCGTGTGCAATGCGTTAAACCTACAAAAACTTTACTAAGCAGATGTTTAACGAGTCAATTAGTCTAGGTTTGTTATTTAAATACATATTACAAGTATTTTAAATACAGGGGGTGCCATGGGCGCTGCGGCTGCGAAGGTAAACACTGCAAGATGGTAGCCACCTGCGATGTGTGTAGGTGGTGAAAACTCCGATGAAATCGTGGTTATGGCCAGAGTCCTTCAATGCTTTACTGGTCACGAAACTTCGGCGCTAGTTTCATATAGGGTCCGCGGGCTCCACTACTGGCGCCACCGTCGCACTGAGGGGATCCAGCCGCCGCGCGTGCGGCATATTTGCCAGCTTTTGGCATGAAAACGCTCGCTACTTCTGGTGTCTACGCGCTGGGTTTCTTTTTTTTTTCTTTTCGTAGTTGTTAGCGATGAATCGCCCAATTATTGTGTATACCACCTGCCTCCAATGGGGTTTTAGTTTTTCGAATAAATCGCCGCAGACCTCGGCCACGAACGGCAACTGCTTTCGCGTCTTTGGGCGCAAGCGCTGCGCCGTGTTTACCGATTTTAAAATATCTTTTGTTTGTTTCCTTCAAGAAAACTTTGTAACCACAATACATACGGTAGCTCTGTAGCTGCGGACTGCTGCGGGCCTATCAATAATGCAACGAAAAAAAACTTAAAAGAAGCAGGTACACGTCCTTCAGAGTAGGCTTTTAATGAATCTGTTGAGTGCTCTGGAATGCGCTGAGCACCCAGATACCCCAGTAATATTCTCTTTTCGATGAGGTGGTACAGTAACATTTAAAAGCGCTGCATAAAGGGAAAGGATCAAAACACGAAATGATGTATGTTGCACTGTGTGTCTTTCCGCGAACCCGCTTTTCAATCCTTGCAAAAAAGGAAGCGCAAACTTTTATCACATGCTACAAAATTGAATTTCAATATTATGAAGGGAGACAAAAGAGTGTGGTGCAGCGTACAAAAATTTATTGTTTGCTGTTTGATGTGTATCACACGGACAAAACAGAATATTGCCACGCAACAAAGACAAACGTAAAGTTCTACTGAATGAAGTTTGTTAAAGCGAACTCATGCTCTGCAAAAGACTAGAAGGAAACGCAAACGTCAAAGAAGCAGTCCGCAGCGTGGCCTGCACAGAAGACATCGATAAAGTGAGTCACGCAGCATTTGCTATGCATGAATTGCTCTCGGGACGTCATTAATTTTCGATCCATGAAAATAGGGTCGAGAATATTTTCGAGCAAACAATAAATCAAGTTAGTGACAAGGTGACAACCTTTCCATATCAACAATATTGCCCGACGCGACATACAAAAAAAAAAGAGCAAACGGGCACTTCAGTTGAAACACCAGATAAAAAACCGGAAGCGGCCACGCATGGTTACAAAACAAAAACAAATCCTGAGCGATAGTTCGTGGAAATATTAAAAGTGCACGCACAAAGACGCCAGAAAGGTTTTTTTGCATGCGAGCCTGACCACAAGGTCATAAAGTTTCCAAACAAGTAAGGAAACACAGCTACTATTTTACTGATCAAACGAAAATCCGCCTATAAGTGAGCTATACAATTATAGGTCCAGGAGGCTCGCAAAGGGCTGCTTTGCTTTTACACTACTCCTTCAGTTTGGCTTTCTCCCTCCACTAGCTGGGCATGTTCCTCGCTTTGTCACACGTGACTGCTTATTTTTTTCGCGTGTGAAAAAATGCAGGCGGCATTGAAGAAAAAGGGGTAGAAGTCAGCAGTCGTCCCAACAAAGTGGGTGGGGCAGCCGATAGCAGCTGAGGCTGTACGATTGTCCAGCGAAACCTGCTCAACAATGCCCATGCACACACCAGCACACGCAGTTTGCTTCACCGTAGATTCTTCTACATGCTCTTCAGCAATTTTGGAGGAGGTTTAGCAGTTTGGTGGAGGGGACCTGAAGGTAACCTCTCGACTTCACAAGAATGAGGTCACTTGGTGATCGTTGCAAGCCTTTTAAAGACTCCACGCAGTCGGTGCAGCACATCTCAGAAAATTTTTGAGCAACATAGCCGGCAAGGTAGTCTAAAATGCACTCCTTTGGAGACAAGTCAGCGAGGGCCTCTTCCTCACTCTCAGTCGGCTCCAAAAGAACGTCATCCAGGAGAATGGCCAGGGAGTCAACCTGAAACGAGAATTTTCTTTGTTTACATGCATGTTCATGGAAAAATATCATGCACAGGTAAATGATGAACTCTGTGCATATTCTGAGTGAATGTCTGTTTAGCAGCTCTTCGCTGGAAAATATATTCCAGATAGAGAAACTATCAATAGCCCTTTTGTTTTCAATATGGCATCGTACATGATTGACAGGAGCAGCTTCCTTGTTGAAGAGGTCCTGCAGCTTGAACAGCAACTGCGGCCCGTCACCATCAACTGATGCCCGCTTGGGTGGGCGGACAAGGTTGTTGACCGAAAGCATTCGGTATATGAACAGGAACTGTTGCATCGTTGGTTGCCCTCCGTCACCAGCAACGTGTCTCGCAATGCCAAAAAACCTGTGAAAGTGAGTCAACAGATTAGTCAATGCAGAAATAAAAAAGCTTACAAGTTTACCTCAAGAGGATCCTGTCCGAAATTTCCAACCAGCACATATCGAAAACCTGAGGCCAGAAGGTTCTCCACAAGTGCGATAGTACTGAGTAGGGTTACTCGCAGCGCTTCAGACGTGGGCTTGGTGAGGAAGCAGGCTTGCCTTTGCTTCAGCAAACTCTCAATGTAATCACAACAGTTGTTCAGCCATGTCACGTTCTCTTTTAATGTCTGAAAAATATTCATGTTACATCTGTAACAATAAATAAAAGCAGGATACCCATAATAACATATAAAGTCTCGAGTGGTATTTCTCACTGCAATGTGCTCCGCTTCGTTATACTGCACGTGCTCTGGCCTCCGAGAATTCAAGCAGTCAAACAGGCCGTTCATTCGTCTGGTGAATGCCGCGGTCGCCTTTGAATCATGCAGCTCCTTGCACACATCTTGCCTGCTGTAAAACTCCAGTGCAGCAGCTGTAGATCCACTGAACAACTGAAGATAAAAAATCAGTAAGGTGTGGCTGAAGGAGTTGTTTCCCAAACATGCTACCTGCTGCACAAGAAAAAGTCATAATATTACTTGCCTGAACAGCAAGTCTCACACTCATTTTCTGGAAGGCATTGGGCATTATGTGGGCTTTTGTCAGTTTAGGCACAGCTCGGAGTCCAGCCTGGTCTTCCTCATACCCCAAAAGGGACTTGAAATGGTCGTGGTAAACGTCACCCTCTGGCAGCTTGAAACAAAATTTCAATTATTGTTGTAAAGAATTGGTACAGCAAAGTATAGCATAACCACGCCTCGTTTTTCTTACCAGAAACTTCCCAACCTTTTGAAGGTTGTTTCTTATGCACTTGAAAATGTGCGGTGGGTCGATGACAGTGTAAATCTCTCTTGACGGGTCACAGGGGTGTTGAAATAGTGTTTGTGGGTTTTTTCTGTCCCCATGTATGCCTGGAAAGAAGACATTTCAGCTGTATAACCATATATTACAGCAGTACTCTAGGATTGTTACAGGAAAAAGTTGTTACCCTACGACCTCAAAGCTGACCAGTTGCTTGTAGAATTGTCGCATGTCACAGCCTGGACAACAGCGCCAGAATTTTCCAAGTGCATAATGCACTGCAGCAGCAATTTGGCCACAACAGAATCAGGAGCAGCGCTGGAAGCGCAGAATGTTCCCACAGTTTGCGACCAGCCCCCAAGAAAGGGCCGAAACAGGAACACCAACACATGATCAGCCTCTTTCTCGTTATCCTCTGGCCTGGTGTGTTCAGCAAAGTTGACTTTTCCAAGCAGGGCCATATCAGATTCTCTGACATGCAGGCTTTTGCGAACACTCATCTCATCAAACATGAGTACACCTGCAAAATAGAAATGGCCAAATGGCTTAGGAACAATGTCAAAAGTCACAGGCACTGCTTTTGATTTTAAATATAGATATTTTTTCCAAATCTCGTCGTTCTCTCTCTGGTACCGCTGCAAGCTTTTCGTTCAGAACAGCAAACAAGTTTGCATCAAACCCAAAGTCAGCTTTCAGGTTCTTCATGCAAGTGTACAGAGTGCGGGGGTTAGGGAGAGGTAGAAATTTGTTCTCATGAAGGAACGTGTACACAGACGTCGACTTAACCTTCAGAAGGAGACAGTCATAAAGCCATTCTTTCCTGTACCTGAAGATAAAAGTAGGAAACTGTTCTCACATTTCAAAACATGCTACATAGTGGACCTTCAGGATAAAAAACATTCGTGCAGTGCATTTGGAATTACATGCATGTACATGACACAGACAAGATGCTTTATATGCATGCATAATGTGTGTGCACCAGACACCAAAAATAGGAGAGGGGGCTCATCATACTGAAACACAGGCATTAAATAGTAAAGTTGTTTTATAATGGATTTCGCAGGCATTTACAGTAGCGAAACTGCTACAAGGATACTAGCACATTATACCAGGTTCATGCGTAGGTGCTTCAAGAATACACCATTCCATGACATGCTGTATGCTGCTTTCGAGCTGCATGTGCTGAAAGCCCAATGAACAGTAGGCACATAGGAACCATGTTCAAGATAAATACATGCGATCTGGCGTTTCTCTGGCATATCGTATGTTATGCAACCATAGCATTTGACACGTTGCAAACATATGCAGCGCATTCTCCAACCTTGTAGTATGGCCAATGCGAAAATGTATAAAACTTCACCCGTCTGTAATTGTATTCATCCTAATAAGCAACAGACACTGCGAAGTGAGACTGTTGGCACGTTAAGAATAAAAGGAATGCTGTGGAAAGCAAACACAACTATTATTTGAAACTGCTGGAGTAATAAAAAATAGGGGGTGCTGAAACAAAATCGATGTGGTGACACGCATATGGCCTGTTGAATCAATATTCTCAACATGCCCGAAGAATGTTAATATTAAAGTGTTTTCAGCGAAGAATCATGGTGGGGCAATCTAAAGAACCAAATTTGACACCGAAATACACCAACACTGCTCCCAAACATCCTACACACACTGGTCTGTTTTCTAAACTTAAGGCACGAACACACTAGCGGTAAAGCCCCTAGATCTTCAACTAGCGGTGCCACGCTCTGCCGCGCGCCGCGCGCCGCTCGCGATACGCCGCTTTTCTCTCTTTCTCCCGCCGAGCGTCGAGGAATTTCTGCCGCCGACTCAATCGCTCCTTGCGCTATTTCTGCCGCCGCCGCCCAAGCAAAGCGCCAATCAGCGACGTGCGTGGTAGTCGCCATAGCAACGCATGGAGCTTGTTTTCTTTTTTTTTTTCCGGCTGTCATTTTTCTCACGCCGTCGTTTTTTGAAGCACGCACCATGGACACCGAACGCTTTTTAGAGGAGATTAGACTCTCCCCTTTCTTATACGACAAAACGATGCCTGATTACAAAGATAAGGAAGCAAAAATGAACAGATGGAATCTTATAGGATCTATGTTTGGATTTTTGGATTAACAGGTAAGTGGCGATTCCGTGGCTCATTGCATGTTAAGCGCGAATGAATAGTGTGTTTTATTCACTCACTTGTGCAGGAACACATGCCATGCTGAAGTTTAAAAATATTAGAGACAGGTGGATAAAGCTCGTGTCGGGAGTCGAGGCGAACACACGGAGCGGTGCGCCAGGCAATAATGGCAAAATTAAGTGGCCCCTGTTCTCAATTATTGACAGCATGCTGAGGCAGGACACCTAACTATGCGGAAAAGTAAGTGATCAATGACGTGCCGTTTCATATTGCAGCGCACGCAGGATACTGTTTCATGCCTTCAGTATCTCTGTACCTCCAAAGCGGATGGGCCCAATATCTTCGCGGCGCATTTCGAGAGCGGCGACGCTGAAGCAACAGCAGACAGGCCATCACGGTAACGTTGAGCCTTGCGCGGAGATCGTCGTCGCCTGCCATTGCTCGCACGATTGCACCGTAAAGTCGTAGAGCTCAGAACCAACGCTTCCTAGTACAGGAGGCGTTGTCAGAACAGACGACGAAAAAGCGCGCAAAATCTCGCGAGCTGCGAGACCGCTCGAGACTGTTGTCACGTGACTCCCGCAGATGTGGCCCGCGTGCCGCTTTTCACCGCTCGGCGGCGAAGACGCGCGTCATGCCGCGGCGGCACACTTCCCGCTAGTGTGCTCGTACCCTTACCTGGCAGCTTTCGCAGACTTGGCATTCGCCTTCATCACGCACTGATCAAAAATCAACTTCGTGCGGGTTGACATTTTTTGAAGGCTTTCTTCAAGTTTTTTGTGCTTGCTCGCTTGTACTCTCATCTTGGCCAATTTCGTCTGACACAAGGTCAGCTGTTGTTTCGTTGCCCGAAGTTGGCACTTCAGCAGTTTAACCTCGGCGAGAGGGCTGGTAAATTCATCTGTCTGGCACGCCGAGTCCGAAGTGCGCGTTGGCCCCTCGCCGACAAGATCTGTGGGCAGTGAAAGATCTGCAAAACAATTTCAAAAATCGTTTCAAATAGCGCATTTTCAGCTCACACACTCTTTCGAAATTTCACTGATATAATCACTGCACGGGCAAAAAAGTTAAAACATTGGCCGTAAACTCACCTTCATCACATGACGCGGCACCCGATGTGCTAGTTTGGAGTGAACTTCTGTTTTACGGGCACATGAGGATGACTCACGACGTCGCTTCGCTGGGGACCTTCTTGTCAGGGTCCGTGACCGTTGCTTCGGCTTCGTCAAATACGCTGGCAAGCCGTCAAACTTCCTTGGAATGGCACAAGGCTTCAGAAGGGGCTTGTCGCGCGGAAGTGACACTTTTTCGCCATTCACCACAAATTCATCTGCGCGGACGATGTCACTGTCATCGAAATGTTTCTCGCACACTCTCACATACTTGGAGTCGAAGCAAAAGTCACCCGTTTCTTGCCTTGGAATTAAGCGCTTCCATTTCTCGCGCAGCACGCCGTCGCTGGGTAAACAGAACAAGGAAACTTTTTCTGTTCTGCCCTTGTACCCGGAACGACATCCCGCGACACAACACGTGTTCGGCATCGTCGCTGCACTAACGCCGCATCACAACAGCACGATATGCACGTTTCCCACACAAAGCAAACAACTCGCAGCGTCGTTCGAGCCAGCGCAACGCCGCCCGACCAGCCACAGAACACCTACCAACCAGCCACAGAAGACCAGCCCGACGAATCCCCTCAGTGAGATGGTGGCGCCACCGCGCGGCAACCCAACGCATCATATGAAGCTCTCCCATTGAGCTATGGAGCAGTTTCGTGACCAGTAAAATTGAAGGACTCTGCTATGGCCTAGGCCACTCCCAAGGAGGACTGGGGTGTCGTCGCTGCTTCTTGTGATTGCTGGATGCTTAGTTGAACCTGGTGGTTGGAGCTAGCACGGCCGTCCACCGCGCCGCAGCTTCATCCGAGTGTGTGCGC